TCTGGAGATGGATACAACATTGGTCTAGTTCCAATTAACAAAATCCCCAAGGACAATAAGCAAAGACTAGAAATTCTCAAGGTAAATGCATTCAATTACCTCTATATTATGAAACCTTCCACCAGATTAGGTGAAGTATCTACTGGTTCTCTGAAAAGATTCCCTGAAGAAGCGGCAGTTAACTGGAAGCAAAAAGGCTTTCTGTTTTACAGAAATTTAAGCATTAATGTGAGAAAGCACTTATCCTGCCGAAATTCCCGATCTACACCGTACAAAATTTAAACGTGGTTCCCTATGTATTTTTAGGGGACTCAGGCTAGTATCAGGATTCTACAGTCTATATTCTATAGACTGTAGAATCCTGATACTATAGAGTTCTTCTAAGCCCCTATATATTTCAGAAGGAAAAGAAGGACTCCTTCTAGAGTACTCTCTAAACCCAATTTTATGTATTCCTTAGTATTTTTCTAACAATAAATTCAGTTTCACATACTTAAATCTACAATAGAAACACATTCATCATGTTTTTTAGAGTAAATTTCCTCCATTCCTATTAATTAAGTACAGTGCTTAGTATTATAACTTTGTTTATTGGAAACCCAAGCCATTCCATATTTTTCTCCTGTGTTATCTCCATTCTCCAATGTGACACCAAGCTTCATATTTTCTTACATTTCCTGACACATTGGATTTTTGTTTTTGTTTTTATTGGCTGTGCTGGGTCTTCACAGCAGCATGAGGACTCAGCAGTAGTTTCGTGTCCCCTCCTTACCCCCCAGCATGTGGGATCATAGTTCCTCAACCAGGGATGGAACCCACGTCTCCTGCACTGGAAGGCAGATTCTTAACCACTGGACCACCAGGGAAGTCCCTACATATTGTCACTTTAAATGGCGGCTTGAGTCTTAGAAATCAGTGCCAACTAGATCGTTTTGGAACATTTCCTGTTTTTAACGAGAGTCTTAACCACATCCAGATATCACTGTGCACTGTTGTCAGTCTAGGTGCAAATTAAGTAGAACTCGCTCAGAGTATTTGTGCTTTCTCATTGTCAATAGAAAAATCGTGTTGTTCTTGTTTTCTTTAAAGAAAGCTTCTCATTAGTGGCTTTTGCACCATGTCTCTTACCCCCAGACGATGCACGCCCACGCTCAGTTCTGCATGAGTGGGGACCACACCTTAGAGGGGACGGAGCATGCCATCAAGGAAATCGCCAAAGAGGAAGCTGATGAGTACTTCGTCATCGTCTTAAGTGATGCGAACCTGTCTCGCTATGGAATACATCCTGCCAAGTTTGCCCAGATCCTGACAAGCAACCCTCAAGTGAATGCTTTCGCCATCTTCATTGGCTCTTTAGGCGATCAAGCAGCCAGGTAAGCGTCACCTTAGGGTGCGGCAGAGGGCAGGGGTAGAGAGGTTTGAGTGGCTGACACGAAGTAGTGGGGACAGTGGGGGCCTGGGGGAGAAACAGAAGCCAGTGGCTGCCCTCAGCAGCTGACAGTCTGGGCGAGGGGACGGGATGCTCTACCTTATATTTAGATGAGCAGCAATGCTTTAAGTTATGTATTTTTCAGCTTATATTTAACCAACAATAAAATAAATAGCAAATTGATTTGTCTACCAGTAAAATTAAGCAGTATTTTATACATTTTGCCTTCTACATCAAGGTGTCAAGCTCAGTTCATGCTCAAATCATATTCAAAGCATCTACTATTTTCGTAGCATCAGAGATTGGGGATGTGTGTGTCTCTACATTTTATTTAGACATACTAGACATGCATGCATTCGTGCTGAGTCACTTCAGTTGTGTCCGACTCTGCGACCCCATGGACTGTAACAGCCCACCAGGCTCCTCTGTCCATGGGATTCTCCAGTCAAGAATACTGGACTGGGTTGCCATTTCCTTCTCCAGGAATCTTCCTGACCCAGGGATTAAACCCACATCTGTGGCTTTTTACCACTGAGCCACCAGGGAAGCCCAACATACACATACATATATGTAAATAAGATCTAATATGGGTATCTACGTATCTATAAACTGAGGAAGGAAATGGCATCCCACTCCAGTACTCTTGCCTGAAAAATCCCATGGACAGAGGAGCCTGGCAGGCTACAGTCCATGGGGTCTCAGAGTTGGACACGACTAAGTGACTTGACCATAGCACATACATATATATATATAAATATAAACGTAGTCAGACAGATAATCTTCCTTATATTTATCCTTCATGTATGTCTGTATCTATAGTAAGATGCTACACTAAATATGCTGAATATTCAGTAGAGAGACTTACGGTCAGATAATCAATACTATCATGGATCATCTGAAAGGAGAAATATGGAAACATTTTCGTTTCTTAAACACACTAACATTTATCTTTCTGAATTACAGACAGAAATGGTTTTTCTCTACTTAAAGTACTTGTAAGGAGCAGAAAACACAATTGAAAGTATATCTCCTCAGAAAAAGAAAATAAAATCCTGCCTACATCACAAAAGCCCACGTACCCTTTTGTTTCTCCACCTCTTTTACCTGTCACACCCTATGGTACGGAGTCCCGGAAAGTAAAAGTCGCTCAGTCCTTTTCGATTCTTTGCAACCCCATGGACTGTATAGTCCATGGAATTCTACAGGCCAGAATACTGGAGTGGGTAGCCGTTCCCTTCTCCAGGGGATCTTCCCCACCCAGGAATCGAACCAGGGTCTCCTGCATTGCAGGCAGATTCTTTACAAACTGAGCTATCAGAGAAGCCCACAGAGTCCTGGACAGACTAGGAAATGTTTTAGGGTCCAAAGTTCTGACATATTTTCTCTTCCCTTTGATTTGCTGCAGGATTGCAGGGTACGGCTAAGACTTAATACCACATAACTACAGTCCCTTTATTATAAATGACTTCACATCTTTCTAAGTTGTGCATGTTAGCCTCTTTGAGAACTTCCATGTCCTCAAATGTAGACCATGCCTTTTCCGCTTAGACTGTCTTCAGGACCAGCCCAGGATGAATCCAGACGACAAGCTCAACAAATACTGTTTGAGCTGAAATAGCTATTTTGTCTTTCTAGTGAACAGATCCTGTTTGAACACTTAAGAAAGCACAATAATACCCTTGTGGTTTCCTGGGGAAATGATCCAACATCCACTGACAGGAGATACGTTGTAGAATTAGCTGGTCTACCAGGCATGCCAAATGCATGATACTGCACAGGAGAGTGGACTTTTATTAAATGTCATTCCAAAACCAAACTCTGCTGGCACAGTAAAAGGAGGCGTTCTTTGGGATAAAACTGTGTCTTGTACTTTTATTGCCTCAAAAAATGGCCCTTTGTTCCCAATGATAACTTGGCATTTAAAAAAATTATCATAAGCCCATATAACCTCAGTGTCATCAAAGCAGGCATTGCATAAGTCAGATTATATTTCACATTGTATGATGTTGGGCAGAAAAGAGACAGGGAGAGAGAGAGGAGGGAGAGAACGCAAGAGGAAGAGAGAATGAACCACTTGAGGTTTGGCTGGGCCACTTTTCTTGAAGCCTGTTTTTCTAAGGCAGGAAAGGCAGTTAGTAGGACAGTGTGAGGCAAACACATTCTCTGAATCTAGGTGAGCTAGTCCCAGATTGATCCCGAGGGCTCCTTTCTGCCAAGGGAATATAAAATACCAGGAAATGACCGTCATAAAAGGGAGAGCATTTTTTTCCTTGCAAATTCCCCAATTTTCTCACTGAAAAGACCTTTCTTTCGGTTCAGTGCTTCCAGCGAGCCTCTCTCTGTAGCTCTTTGTTGCCTAGCAACAGCCAGTTCCACTGCAAGCAGGGGCAAGATATTAAAAACTGAGAAGTTCCCTTCCTAAGAAACCATTAGGATGCTGAGGTCTGCAGAGGCCAGAGGTAGAAGAGGCGCCCTGGTTTGCAATGGTAATTTTCTTTCCCCATCCATCCTGACAGGCTTCAGAGAACTCTACCAGCGGGCCGGTCTTTCGTTGCCATGGACACCAAGGACATCCCTCAGATTTTACAACAGATTTTCACCTCTACCATGCTGTCCAGTGTTTAAGAAGTGCCCTTATCACCCTGGTGACCCTAGGATTTGAAATTAGATACAAAGAAAGTATCCTGAAGAAAAGAAGAGGTCTATCAAGTGTCCGTGTGCAATGACTGGATAATTCTGGCATTCCTGGGCCTTCCTGCACTTGCTAAGTAATCAGAATTCAGAGAAGCATCCAGAGTGAGGCCCATGCACCACTGAGGTGTGATCACTAGAGGAAACATGTTGACCTGCATTATGTGAAAGGTCAGGGTTAAAGGAAGGTGGTTTGATAATGGTGGTGCATGGTCTGTTTCCAAAACCCTGAGGGATGAAGAGGAACTTGCTGTTGCCTTAATGCATCACCTGGTCACTTAGGATGAAAAAAGTGACCTCAGTAAACGAAGCCTTTGATGCCACATTCTGACACTGGAATGCAACTCTATGCAAACCCACTGAATCTGCTCCTGTTCAGTAATTATTTTTAGTTTTTTTCCTCTGCTCTGTATTGCCCAACAAACAATGATTTGATAGTCTTCAACCCACTTAAAAGTCCTTTCAACAACAGTATTCTATAAAAGGTTGGGTTTTCTCAATAATTTCATTGTCTTAGCCAAAACCAAAAGGAATCAAAAGCTCCTTGGAGTGCTTCCTTTCCCATGTGACTTTTAAAGGGCTTTTTAAAGAATAAAGAGCAAACGCTGCTGGGATTGGGAGGATAAAAGATGTCTTGCCTCGAGTTTCCTGTCTCTTCTCCTTCAGGGCTTCTCAAAGTTTCACAGTCCTCCATTTTGGTGTCAAAAATGTAGCAGCTCAAAATAACAAACGCTTATTTTTTTTTTACCTAAAACGAAGTGAAAACAAGGCAGGATGTTTGAGCTGAATGGTAACTGGAGATTTCTTTAGCTGTTTAAATAAACAGCCTTATTCGTTTTTTTTTAAAAATTGTTTCTAATTGGAGGATAACTGCTTTACAATGTTGTGTTGGTTTCTGCCCTACGACAGTGTGAATGAACATGAAGAATCACATATCCCCTGCCCCAAGAACCCCCCACCCCCACCCCACACCGCCAGGTCGCCTCCAAGCTCGGGCTTGGGCTCCCTGTGTTACACAGCACATTTCCACTTCTTGTTGTTCAATCACTCAGTCTTGTCTGACTCTTTGAGACCACATGGTCGCAGCACGCCAGGCTTCCCTGTCCTTCACCATCTCCTGGAGCTTGCTCAGACTCATGTCCGTCGAGTCGGTGATGCCGTCCAAATTCCCACAGCTATCCGATGGTGGTGTATTTATTTCAACGCTCCTCTCTCGGTCTGTCCCACCCTCTCTTTCCCCCGCTGTGTCCGCAAGTGTGTTCTCTACGTCTGTGTCTCTATTCCTGCTCTGTCAGTCGGTTCATTGGTACTATTTTTCTAGATTCCATATATATCTATTAATACGCGATATTTGTTTTTCTCTTTCTGATTTACTTCACTCTGTGTAACAGGCTCCAGGTTCATCCATCTCAGCTCAACTGACTGAAATTTGTTTCTTTTTATAAGCCTCATTCTTTTTTATTTCCCCAAAATATACCTCATTCCCACCCTCTCTTGGGCTGACCTTTACTTATCAATAGGCTCGATGTCCAGTGTTTTTTTTTAAGTCAAATGTTCCAGCAGAAGTCAGCCTCTTTTCAACCATGTAATAAAAGTTTCTCTTCATCACTGATGGCAAAGTCCAAAATGCTGGGAGCACCAATATGTGTGTGCTTTCTTACGACAAGCTGGAAAAACTAGTCTTGTTATTAAGGTTATTTTATTCACCCCTACATGGTGGGAACTGTACAGTTCATTTCATTTTAATTAATTACAGCAAAGAAATGATAACCCTCATTTGTTTCACCACCCCATCTCCATACCAAAGAAATAGAAGCAATCAGCTTTCCCGTGCAGTATTTCCCAGCCAGTTTGCATGACTTGTCTTGTTTCTCGAGACAGACGCCTGCTCTGTGTATTGAATCATCCAAAGATGCAAATGATTTCAATCTAATATCTTTAAAAATATAATTGCATTAATAACAATATCATATAATGATAATAAAAGAATGACAGCTAGCATTTACTGATCACTGTGTGCCACGTATGCTAAACGATTTCATACATTATTCCATTCAGTTATCACAACAATGCATGTAAAATAGGTTATTTTTTAACCTCTTTTTACAGATAAAAGAAGGGAGGCTCAAAGAACTTAAGACTATTGCTCATTGTACCTGTGGCTCAGACAGTAAAGAATCTGCCTGCAATGCAGGAGACAGGGCTTAGATCCCTGAGTCAGAAAGATCCCCTGGAGAAGGGAATGGCTACCCATCCCAGTATTCTTTCCTGGAGAATTCCACAGACAGAGGAGCCTGGCGGGCTACAGTCCATGGGGTCACAAAGAGTCGGATATGACTGAGCCACTAACACTTGTACTACTAACATCCTCATTTCACAAAGAAGGACACTGAGCCTTGGGGAAATCCAAGAAAACAGAAACACTCGCAGCCAGACAGGGGCCGAGCTGTGACCCTGGACTGTCCCCTCTCATGCTTTATTCTTGCAAACTGACCGCATTTCCTGGAGCCCTCGCCTCTCCCGACTACTTGGAAACTAGCTGCACAATTCGAGTGCTTGGAGGAGGGGTGGGGACAAAGGACAGGGGACCCTGCTGGAGGGACACACCCCATGGATCCTTCCTGGGCACAGCAGCGGCTTGAGGAGGTGCCCATCCAAACGGCAGCTTCATCCCTAGGGATGCCCCTTTGCTGGAGGGTCACAGCCCTGAAAGCCTTTGGGAGTTGAACCCAAGAGTGATTGATGGAACAGCCTTTTAACAATCGTCCCCACGAGTTAACTACCTGAATAAGCAGAAGCCTTTTTTTTTTTTTTAAACATGGAAAGAATGTTCTCAAGTAATTTAATTTCCCTTTCCCCACTGGCCAGACAGCCTTTGCAAAAGTTATTTTTAAAAAATGTATAACTCCCTGGCTTTCCTGATTTGTAAAAGGGAAGGAGGGTGGGGGAGGGGAGTAGAGAGTGAGAAGATGACGGGCTTCTTCTCGTTTCTTGCAATAAATACCTAAGAAGCTGTGTCTTTATTATTAAATGAACTTAATTATAGGCCACTCCAAGCTGTTCCCAGGCCCTTCTTAGGGCCAGGGCGTTATAATAACCGCATTGTGCAGCTCGGTGTGGGGCGGGTGGGGGGCTTGTTCCACTGAAAGGCGGCTAAACCCGTCCTCAGGGAGCCCACGTGACGCTGAGAAGGTCCATTGTGATCCTGAGCAGCCAGGAGGAATGAAAGCCCCGAGTCGCACCGGTGAAGGATGCGCCTTCCCCCCGCCCCCGGGTCCTTTGGGAGCGCCCGCAAGACGACCTCATCACGCATGTGCGGCTCGAGCGCACCCGCAGGAAGAGGGTCTGAGCAGGGGTCCCTGCGCCTAGCACATGTTTGGAATGAATCGTTTAATTCTTTACATTACACCCTCTCCTGCGAACTGTCAGGAGGAGAAATCCATCCATGCCAGCAGGGTTTTTTCTGAACAAACTCTGGAGCTTGGAAAGCCTCTTAGGAGCGGTGTTCCCTGGACCGCGTGGTCAGTGTTCCTGAAATGCATCTCTGGGGACTCCAAGCCCCCGCTACACCTGGCTTCTTCCTGCGCCTGTCAGATCGGCCAGAGTGAAATTCCTCAGGGAGCAGAGCAGAGAGATTTGGGGGAACCAGGGAGCAAGAGGAGTTGTCGCTTATCTGTTCCATTTCTGTTTGTTTCAAACCATCACCATTATGAGAGAGATCACAAGTTTAACATCTCCTGTGCCTAGATAATTTTTTTTTTCCCCTGGAGTTGCATCTCAGGAATAACCACATGGCCACTTGTATTGAGTAAATCGCGCAAGATTTCATCTTATTAAGGAAAAAATGTCCCATTTTAAAAAAGTATTCCAACCAGTAACATATAGCTTTTTCAAATACTTAAATGAATTGTTGAATTTGCTACCAATTTCTCGTCAGGTTTTTTTCTGTTTTTTCTAAGATATGCTGTGGCAAAAGTATTATGTAAGTAATGGAAAATAACTCCCCTGGCCTGCAGTGGGAGGATTTCCAAACAGGGTAGAACTGGTAAGAAGGAAGTTGTCGGTGCTGCTCGGCCATGAACTGTTAATATCAATACCTGTGCGGCCTTGGGCTAGCCGCTCGTGGGCCTCAGTGGCTTCATCTCTGAATTAAAAGGGTCGGACAGAGTGGTCTGCAGCACCGCAGTCTCGTGTTCCTTTACCTCCCACAGCGCGTTGACTTTGTCCCCGACGTCTTACCCAGCCTCCTCGTTTCAGTGTATTTTTGTCTCAGCCCCACGCATATTTTAGCCCCTATGGGACCGGGGATTTGGGCACCTATATCAATCACCCTAAGAAAATGTGTTATGAGTGAATATTCTGAAAGTTATGTAAACACCATTAGAATTGGACAAGAGGGACTTTCTGCCCAGCATCTGGGCAGATAGTTCAGTAGGATCACGATTCACAAGATTTCTGCACATTGTCCCTTGCTTTGCATTTTGCAGCCATAAAATAAAGTTCCGGATCTGCTGATCTACACAATGGGATCAAAAAGGATCAGGAATTGGAAAGCCACAGTGTGCTGAGAGCTGACCTTAGTGCCGCAGCTGAACAATGCACAATTGTGTGTGTGGGTTTTTTTCTTCAGTTGTTAAATCCTGTAAACAAAAACCTCCTCCAGAGGAGAAAAAAATGCTTGCCAAGTAGACTCTCAAGATGAGAGCGATTTGACAGGTTTTTGTTTTTTTTTTTTGAGACTAAGCCCTGTCTGGGGCTTTCACCTTCAAACAGAGACCTCGTCTCTTCTGGCACAGCCATGCCCGTGGGCTTTGGAATGCCAGGGTTACATAATTTTAAAATTGAGTGGCACTTGTGGTATTTGACCACTCAGAGTCCAGTATAACACTCTTTTAAGGTGGTTTGGGTCCAGAGGGTGGCTAGAATGTCATGTTCTGCGGTAAGAAATAAGGGACCTGTCATGCACGGTGACCACCTATGCCCCCACCCCCTGGCCCCCAACAGGCGCCAAAGGCACCCTGACGCTTCCCTCTTCTCATGGGCTTCAGCAAAAGGGCTTTGGATCCATTAGCTCTTCTCCCTGTAGGAACAATCACAGTGTTTGTCAATAGACTCTGACTCCCAAGATGGTAGATTTGACCCCAGAGGACTTCCAGAATATAAAGATTTATTGAAATTACATGCGGCTCTGAGGCATTCGTAACAGTAACTGGAGCCTGACCTGGAAATGGGAGGAAATTGTCAGTCTGAGCATCCCAAAGCTAGTGTGTCTGTCTTGCCTGCTGGAATGTGGTGAGAAAGTAATGAGCCTGTCAAGAGTCCTTTGTGTAACTGGTCTCATGATGCCACACGTGAAGCATCATTCATTGAGACTGGAAGAAAAATAAGTGTCCTTACTCAAGACATTAGAGTTGAATTTGCAAATGCACCATGTTTATATGAATGAAATACTGACGCTAATTCAGTGAGACTGATCACGTCTTCATTTCGGAACTCATCACTAAGAAGTCATCCGTCATCAGACTCTAGGAATAGAGTGTCAACAAAGCTAGGTGGTCCGCCTCCTTTCACAAAAGATTATCTGGCCCATGTGAAATTCAGCCCTGAAAACACTGGCCTAGAAAGGCACACTTGTGGACCTGTGGAAATACTGGGTTGGCCAAAAAGTTTAGGTTTTTCTAATGAACTTTTTGCCCAACCCAGTATGTGTCCACACTGGAGGAATCAGCCTGTTGACCAGCGTTGGCTTTGACTCCTGGGATGGGGGTGATGCGAGGGCATTGGCGGGTTCCCATAGACCCCAGAGCTGCTGAGGCATCCCAGGGTCTCTGCCCCAGGCCAGGATGTCCAGCCTCCAGGTGGCACGCACATACAATTTAAAGGACAGATGATGGGGTACCCAGGAAGGCCTGAGGCTTAGTTAATAGACACACGGACCAGGAAATGGGACTGTTTGTTTCACAGCGAACAAAGACATGTCTATAATCTGAAAAGTGTCCTTTAGGGCCCAGATGCTTCTGAACAACTCTTCTCCAGGCGGATAGAATATGCATGTCCATACATGGCGGGCTGGAGCACAAAGATGTGTGGCGCCTGAACTGAGGCGTCTCTCTTTCGAGCTGACCTTTCCTGCACACTGGAGCGGAGGAGCGCGCTCTCTGCAGAGGTGGAGACGCGCGGCTCCGCAGAACCGCTTGAAAGCAGACATTCAGTCACTTGGCAGGAATACAGCTCCGCACAGCTGGCCTGGCGTCTTGCCCCCTCGTGTCTGAAGTCTGTCTTTGGAGAGGGGTTTCTCAGCAAGACGGGCTCCTCTTTGTA